CGATTTGCTTCCATGTTTTGTATGTTTTCCCAACGTGTCTGTACTCCATGTAAGATTCCCAGACCAGGGGAATCCAGATTCCACGGTTAGGTGCCCGTCTCTCAGTTCATCCGATAGTTTTCTCAGCTCGCTGATTGTCAGCATCTGACCGTGACCCGGCAGTACCATTGCACTTTGAGGATACTTCGTAGACGAGGCTCATGGCACTTCAAGGTGGCTGATGTTTCGAGATTGTATATGAGCCCACTATATGATGATCTTCGTGTCCGTTCGTACAGTCCAAACCTTCAGTATGTTACGCAGCTAGCCATAATTCGCTGATGCCAGTTCAATACGCCATCTTACTGCAGGATCAGCGTCACTCTTGGTACTCAGTAGAGTTCGAAGTATTTGAAATGGTCCCCAATTCGACATAATATCCTTGGACTGCCGGTCGAGATGGGCGTTCTCATATTTTCTCGTCTTTTTGGCATTCACTTATACACCCACTCATACAGCGGTGTTGCAGACGTTTCAACGAGTGTCAGTAGGCCACCACTTGCCGAGTCATTTAGCAGCACGTCATCATCGTCATACGTAAGGTCCGCTAGGAATACCCCGATTATTTGGATCTGCTATCTGATTTACCAACGGTCGGTCCATCGTTGTTGTTGTTGTTTAAACAACCCACTTCCGCATAACCATGGCAAAGAAGAGAGCTCCTTGCCTTGACGAACTCAGTGGTGATGTTGAACGAGTCCAAAGGCGTACAGCTTAGTCTTCTCATATATACCTTTTATCAGGTTTACCATCGCCTGTTTGATTCCGTATTCCGTAATGTCGAATGCCTCCCCGTCAATTATACTGTATCCAGACAGAATGAACGTCGCTAGAAATATGCTAGCTTCCTTGCAGATTTAAGGTATTCAGATCTAAAGCGACTATGATTCTTCAGATCAGAATGGACAAGAACACGTATAACTCGGTACAGGAAAGCCACGTGACGTGTTGACGCGTCAGCTGTGTACTTTGAATAAATTGTTTTGTACGCAGACAAGAAACATCATTGATTCTCACAGCTCCTGCATGGTCACAACATTCGTCGGCTGCCTTTGCAGCCGTCAGTGCATAAGCGTTGAGTTTGCTAGTCATATTCCCCAGTGAAATTGTGGCTCAGACGACAAACTTGTTTTAAAGAACCGAGCTGCACGATGGTACTTTTTGTTTCGAGCAAGGTCAAAGGGTTTTTATCTTCTGATGCTTGAAAACCGATAGGGCTGCTTATCACTGAGATTTCGGTGCTTTCGGAGGGCAAAAAGTTGTTC